GGTCACATGGTAAGAGTATGTGGAGCTTTGGAAGAGACCACCGGGCTGTCCCCCAGAGTGGCTGCGCCCTCTGCGTGCCCGCCAGCCGCGAACAGGCGTTCCTGTTGCTACTTGTCCTCGCCAGCACCGGGTGTGGCCAGGCTGTGGGTGTGCCCCATTCTCATGGGTGGTGCATAGGGGCGTTTCATGTGACTCTGCACTTCCCTGATGACACGTGGTTCAGCGTCTTTTAATATACTCACCTGCCACCTGACCACTTCCTTCGGGGAGATGTCTATTAGGAAGGCCACTGGCACATATTTTAATCAGGTTACGCGTGTTCAAACTGTTGAGTTGTAAGGGTTCCTTCCATATTTTTTTAAAATATTTTATTTATTCATTCATGAGAGACACAGAGAGAGAGGCAGAGACCTAGGCAGAGGGAGAAGCAGGCTCCCTGCAGGAAGCTTGATGTGGGACTTGATCCCAGGACCCCGGGATCACGCCCTGGGCCGAAAACAGATGCTCAACCACTGAGCCACCCAGGTGCTCCCTTTTTTTATCTTTTTATTTCAAACGTTGTGCCATTTTGGTGTCAGTCTATCTCTTGTAAATGGTATGTTATTGGATTTGATGGGGTTTTAAAAAGCATAATGTGAATCTCTCCAAATAGGTGCGTTTAAGTTACCATGATCGCTTGCTTGTCTGGACCTACATGGGCCCTGCTCCTATTTGCTTTATTCCCCAACCTCTTTCCTGGTTTCTCTTGACTGGATCAGCTTTGTTCATTCACTTTCTTTTCCCGTTTTGGAAGTTATACACTATTCCTAGTCTTTCAAGTTACTCTTAAATTTTAAATGGTTTCTTAGGGAAGCCTGGGTGGCTCAGCGGTTGAGCACCTGCCTTCCGCCCAGGGCGCGATCCTGGAGTCCTGGGATCGAGTCCCACATCGGGCTCCCTGCATGGGGCCTGCTTCTTCTGCCTGTGTCTCTGCCTCTCTCTCTGTGTGTGTCTCTCATGAATAAATAAATAAAATCTTGAAAAAAAAAAAGTTTCTTAAACTTGCACTAAGATGTTCCCCAGTAAGCCAGATGGGTGGACCTGCAGCCACCTGCTTCAGGTTACTGAAGATGGGGGGCTGTGGTTGTCCTGCTAACTTCCCCGATCCACAATAACGACTGGAGAATCCCAGTACAGGGTTCTCCCACTCTCTGGAAGTGGAACATTCCTAAAACCTTCCCTAAGCCAAAATGGCATTAAAGCAAAGAGGCAACTGCCATTCATTTACATGACTAGATGTGTGAGTGTTCCCAGACCCCAGGAAAAATCACCTCTTAGGCTTTTCTGATCCCTGAGGACAGACCCATCTCACTAATAGATGCAAAAGATAAAGTGACATAAAGTACTGATGCTCACAGATGGTTCAGAGCTGTGCGGCAGGTGCCGGGATGCTGAGTGGGGTCCTGGGGAAGGACGGGTGGGGTGACGCCATTCTCACTGCGTCCAAACCAGGTCGCCGTGGAACCAACGCTCGACATCATTTTTCATTAAAGTGAAAATCCTAAGATTTCTTTCAGTTCATGAAAACAGATAGCGTGTGTATTCTTCGTAGAAGTGTGCTGCGGTAACACAAACTTTTGAAAGGCAGGGGACGCCTCTCCTAGAAAGGATGGAAAAGCGCCCAGGAACGGCGATGGTGTTCACAGCATCATTTGCAACGGGAAAGAAACGGAAACAAGTTGATGTACGGCAAGGGAATAAACGAGTTGTGTTAATCCACACAACAGAATATCGTGTGGTCATAAAAGTCATGTTTTTGAAGAATTTTAATGATATGAGAAAGCACTTAGGATATTAGTACAAGACGCCCTATGCAGGTCTCTTTCTGTCCGCGGCAGGAAGGAAACGGACGCTGCCTTGCCTGGGGAGACGTGAGGGAGGCCGGGGTGGGGGGAAGAAGGCATGCGACGCCCTGACCCCAGATGGCCAGGGCCACTCCGTGGCTGAGGATGTCGGGGAACGAGGTGGAAATGTGCGTCAGGAAATGGCTTTGGCAAACAGTCCGCCATCGTCTCCTGGGGGGAAGCACCGTGCGGCCCTGCGATTCCACTTCTCCAACTCCCGACAGAGCAGTGGGCTCCACGGTGCACGCGGCGCGTCGGCCTTTCTCCGGGCTGGTCCCTGGAGTCACGTTCAAAACGCCTTTTGCCACTCCCTGTTATAAAAGAGGTCGATTTCTATTTTGAGCATTTGGGGAATTTTTAATGTTTAAATCCATTATCTGGAAAGTATTTGGATGACGCATATTTTTTTCTTAAGTCATCAGCCTGATTGTCAGCGAAATGGGCTGGCGGGTGAGCTCCTTGGCGCACGGTCACACGGGCTGCGAGCATCCCCTGGCCATCCTTCGCAGGTCTGCCGGGCTAGAGGAGGAGAGTGGCCAGCCTCGGAGCCAAATGGGGCAGACCCCAGAGCAGCCATGGCCCCAGGGCTCGAGCAGCACTAGGGGAGGGGAGGGGGCAAGGGGCAGGGTGAGCTGGGGGACAGGATCGGGAAGGCTCAGGGAGGCCCCCACTGCCTGGCCTGGGGGCGGGGGCGGCCTGCGTCCTGAGCCTCGCTGAACAGCGGCTCCACGGCACACACACCAGCCGCAGTCCAGCGAGAGGCCTGAGCTCAAGGCCTCGTGCGGCCCCAACATGCCCGGTGTCAGAGGTGCGATCGGTCCGTTCAGACGCGGGACGGGGTTGGTTTGTCTCCTTCCAGGGGGATACATGGGGCACAGCAGCATGGAAGCCCTGACTTGCTGGGGCCTGGCTGCCCTGTGAACTTGTCTCTGGCACTTTCCGTCTGGCCGCAGTGCCAACAGGCAGGGTCCCTCCAGGCAGCCTGGCAGGCGGAGCCCCGTGGGGACAGGTGCTCGGGGCTTGTCTCAGGAGCCCTGGGGTTTGAGCCCCTGGGGGTGTGTGAGACCCCGACATGCACCTGAGGATGAGACGGCCAGGCCACAGGTGCCCATAGACCGTGGCTGCCGACGGGTCACCTGGGCTTTGACCTAGCACCCAAAACCCCCATTTCCAAGCGAGGGAAGGGAGGTGCGTCCCCACCCTGCAAGTGCAAGCCAGCAACAAGGCAAGTCACAGGGAAGAGAGGTGCATGCTCCACCCCCCTTGGGGTCTCCTGCCCACCCCACCCCACCAGCCGACCCACAAGATAGTAGAGAGCCACAGGCTGGCCTGGGAAGCCCCACTATGGGGGGACGTGCAGATGTGGGGTGCCATCCAGGTAGCCCCGAGGAGCTGGGGCCCACGGGGCCTTGTTTCAATGACCCATGAGGGTGGGAGGCTGGGAGCCCAGGGAGTGGCCAGGTGTGGAGGCCCTTTCCGTCCCGGGCCTGGCAGGTGGTCAAACAAGGGGCTGGCCTGGGTCTGACCCTGAGTCGTGCAGAGTCAGGGTTCAGGGTGCAGCCCGAGTGTGACCCCTGCGTTGCCTCAGCCCACCTTCTCCCCGACAGGTACTCCTGGGCTTTCAGCAAGACTGTGGGTGCTGCACCCACTGTCAGGCCTGAATGGAAAGGCCAGGACTCGGCCACTGCCCTGCGCTCGGCTGTCACCCGGTCCTCGAGGACCAAAGACGCCGGGTGCGGGGCAGCCCCGTTCCCTTAGGACAGTCCTTGAATCGGGCCAAGGCTGGGGGTTCGCTGCATCCTTATTCCCGGTTCAGCACATCGTATGCAGACAGAACAGCCTCCGATCGTTTCAGATGCACCTGCCAGGCTCCTGGGATACTTGCCAATATTCAATTCCAGCTTCACAGACACGGGAAAATACAGGTGGAGCCTCATTTAACTTCGTAGATCCTCCTATCGGAAAAATTAACTACCTCAAGAGGTAGAGGTTTCGTGTGCCCAACACCCTGGCCACGCGGAGCGCTCTGAGCTGTGACAGCAGGGGGCACGCGGCCAAGCAAGATGGGGCTGCCAGCAGGCGGCCCAGGGGGCAGCCCTAGAACTGGGTGCCCTGGCTGGAGAAGGAGCAGTGGCCGGGGAACCACAGGGCGCTGGGTGGAGAGGAATCCCCAACCCCGGGGCTAGGGGCTGTGCTGGCTGGTCTGAGGCAGATACCTCCGCGGATGCGGGAGCCCCTCACGTTTGCACAGTACCTTGGGCTGACTTCCACGCCACATGTAATGAGCCGAGAATCGTTACAACAAAACAAAGGACACACACATGACACGCGTGTATGTTTTCCACCCCATCTGCAGCCTCCCCACGCGTCCTCGGGCCGAGCCGAGCAAGGACGGTGCGCCCTGGTGTGGCTGCCCCAGGATCGGCTCGCAGCAGGAAGAGATGCCTGCCAGCAGAGGGGGCTGGGAGTCTGTCCGGGCTCGGGGGTCAGAGTGGGCCCACAGAGCCACGGGGTGTGCACGTCCCCGCCAGCCCCACGCCCGGGGCAGGTGCTCCTCTGCGCGGGGGTGGGTGGGGAGTGTGTGGGATGCACAACTGGCCTCCGCAGAGCCCCAGGCAGGCCGGGCCAGGACCTTCTGCACTTGGGCTCTCTGCACCCCTAGCCCCAAACAGCGGGAAGCAACTGTGTCCGTAACCGGCCTGAGATCTGGACGGTGGGGCGAGGCCGCGGACGAGTGCTCTGAGGACTCTGATGACAGTAGCTGAGCCCACCTGCCCTGATGGCCCGACTCAGAGACCAATGTCCTCGGCCGGAGGCCTGCGTGGCTATCCCCAGGGCAGCAGGGCCCCGAGCGCCTCACCTCCCAGCAGAAGAGCACACGGGCCGGCAAGTTCTCCCACTCAAGAGCCAGAGATATGAGCAGGACCCCGCTCCGCTCCTCACCCTGCGCCCAGCCCGCTGCAGCCAGAGCTCCGCAGCCACTCAACTGACCCAGGGCAGCCTAGGCCAAGAAAGAAGGCACGCGCCAAAGCCAGAGTGACGGGCAGCTACAGGGATAAGGCCAACTCCGAGGAGCCCTGCGGGGACAGAGACGTCACAGGTTGGGCAACATCCCACTTGCTGTTTTGTCTGTTTTATTCTCTTTCACTCAACAGAATAGGAGTTTTGCATTTCAAAGTAGATATGAGATGACGACCACCTCCTCCTGCCCCGGGCACCGGACAGCAGGCCTCTCCCAGAGGGTCTGGCTCTCAGGCTGCGGCGCAGCGGGGGCTCCAGGAGGCAGTTATTTGGCAAGGACGCTCCAGGGACAGGGAGGGAGACGCCCACCCACCTCCGGGCTCCCAAAGGGCCAAGAGCCTCCCCGGCTCTCTTTGGTATCCTAGGAAACAGAGGTGGTCCCCAGCCAGGCCCTGGCCCCCGTCTGACGCCCAGTCCTGGCCACCTCCGGGGAGGGCAGGGCTGCTCCAGCAAGGCCTCTCCTTGACCATGGGCCTGTGGCCACCGGCGACATTCGGCGCGCTGCCCTAGGGCGGGGTGAGGCCTGCTGCGCTGGCCCCGGCTCATTTCTTGTAGTGATTGGGGGCATCCGCGAAGGCAAACTTCAGGCGGTAGGCCTCAGCCAGCAGCAGGCTGATGTCCTCATCGCCCCAGTGGGCTGTCGGCAGGTTCTGAAGGAAGAGCAACAGCTCCTAGGGGGAGAGAGACAAGCCCGAGTCAGAGCAGCGGAGCACAGCGGGCAGGGCCTGCAGCCCCGGGGCTCCCTCGCTGGGGACTGGCCAGCGGTGGTGGTGAGCCAGAGTGGCCTGTGCAGCTTCCCAGATCCCACCATGTGCCCCCTCCCCTCTGGCCCCGAGAGACCCCAACCCCACAGCCAGGAGGAAGCCTCGCATGGCTCTGCACACTTTCTGGTGATGCTGCTGGGATGCTGGGGGCAGCTGTGACCCCCCCGCCTCCTGAGACTGGCTCCCCCGGGCTCCAAGGTCCAGCGCTGGTCCGGTGGGGCCTGGCTGCCGATGTGCCTCCTCGGCCCGCGAGCCTCCCACTCACTCCAAGGCCCTGCAGGACCCAGGAGGAAAGTGCCAGCACCCCACCGGGCCCGGGCTGACTTCACACAGAGACATCCCTCCCGGCACCAGCTCCTTCAGCGGGGACCCTAGGGGTGCTGTGTGTGCACTCCCGGTGGGCACACGCCGGCTGGGCGGGGACACAGGAGCAGCCCTTGTCACTGTCATTCACTGGATACTCAGTGTTTCCAGGGAGGACCAGGCTGCAGACCCTCAGCTGCCTGCAGCCCATCCAGCCCCCCAGTGGGCCATGTCTCAGCCGGCCGGGCTGGGCACTGAGCTCACCTCCCACAGGACACAGGAACTGTCTCAAGAGCTCACAGTTTAGAAACCACAGACAGGGATACTGAAGAACGTGCTGGAAAGGACAAACATGACCAGGACCACAGTGATGCTAGGACCCAGCCCTGCACACTAATCAGCTCTTCTGATGGACCACGGTCCTTGTCCAGGGCACCCAGTGACACCCCAAGGGCAGGGAGGGTTTCAGGGGAGCACAGGCCCTGGTACCCAGAGCAGTTGGGGGATGGAGGGAGGGTTGTGTGCCCCGGATGGCTTCCCGGGCTTGGGTCTCAGAGGAGGAGAAGTGGGGGACTGGGCATCAGGTCAGGGCAAGGCCTGAGGCCAGACTCCTCAGGAAGTGGGTTAACCCTGTTGGCTCTGGTCCTGGAGAACCAGCCCACACAGAAGCCACACCTGAGTGAGCCTGATGGGTGGCTGGCTCCTCTCCGAGGGTCCCAGCAGGGGACAGGTGACGGGGCGGGGGGTGGAGATCAGATCAGTTCGCCCCACGCTGCCTGCCCCGAAAGGAGCAGCTCAGGGAGACTCACAGGCGCCATCCACTGAGGCCCCTGTTCCTGCAAGGCTGGGACGGGGGCACAAGGTGGGGTGCTGAGGCAGGCGGGCGGGTGCCCTTCCTCTCTGAGCCCCCCCTTTACTGGAAGTCGGGGAGGGCCGCGCCGTCCATCCTGCAGAGCGGCACCGTGAGCACTCAGGCTGCGGGCTGCACAGCCCGTCTAGGCTCAGATCCCGGCAGCCTCAGGCGCCTGACCTGCAGGATGGGCCCCAGGTCCCACCAGGGCTGCCGCAGTGTCTCGGGTCCACCCCCCCACCCGGGACGCGCGCATCCGGATGGTTGTCCGCGCCGGCTCACCGCTACGGCTTCCTCCCCTCCCTCAGCCCCATTTCCTTTTGCATTTTGGATACTTTCTGGGGGCCTTTAAATTGAATTCACGGAGCAAATTTCACTGGCAGAGTGTCCCCTGGGACAGATCAACATCAATCTGCTGTCTCTCACCATTAGATGCAACTTACACGGACGCCAATCCAATTCTGAGCAGGTCGTAAATAAATACCTTTGGTTTTATTTTTAATCCACTTCGCTTCATATTATCGTGACCTCGCTACTTGCAAGGTGAGAAGCAATACCCTCCCATTACGGGAGCTCACCGACTCCCCTGCACACTCAATTTCAGAATCTAATTTAGTCCCCAGGTTCACTGGACGGAGGGGGAATAGAAATGCCCGGCGCTCCGCAGCCTGCAATGCTAAAGAAGGAAAAATCTATCCGGGTGACCTTTACGGGAGGCAAAGAACACAGCCAGACACGTCCTTAAATACAGATTTCTTTTTTTAAAAGGCCTGTCTTATTTATGCACTGGGCAGAGACGTCCCCGAGGCGGGAATCGCGGACAGCGATTAGCCGTGAGGGGTTTTGCATCAGCACATGGTCCAGGCCAAGGGCCACTGCTCTGAAGCTGTCCCCGGATCACGTCACAGGGTCCGGCCCTCCCAGGGACAGACCCTCCTCTGGCGGAGGAGCAGTGGTAGCGCAGAGGGCCGAGCTGGGGCCCCATCACCAGCCCAGTCCCACAAACCTGGAGGGTTACAGCGCTCGGCCCCGTCAGCAGACACGAGAGGTGGAGGAAGGTTTGCCCAGGATGCTGACGCCCTGAGAAGTCAGTCGTGTCGGGTCCCTGTAACTCTCCTCCCGTCCTGGCCTGTGAGACGCCACCATGTGAACACAGCCACAGCACAGGTGCTCGGGTTCCTGCACCTGCCGCTCACCCCTGGCTTTCCACATGGCTCCACGGCGACACATCCTGACAGGGTGAGCAGTGGAACCCGCCCCACCTGCCCGCCCGGGGGTCTGCAGGTCTGAGTCCTGTCGCATGTCACCTTCATCTGGGGAGCTCTGGAAACCACAGGGCGGCAGCCCAGCATCCCGGAGACAGGCCTGGACATGCTGTTCCGCCTCTCGGTATGATAAGCGGCTTGGACTGTGCTCTGGACACCGACGGGCCATCCTGAGCGTGTGGAGGCCGTCCCCAGGGAGGCCCCTCAGCGCCAGCCTGGCAGCAGGCGAGCGGACTCACATGGCCCCCAGGCAGGCCAGGGTGACGCTGAACGCCCTGGGGAGCGGGCTGTGGCAGGAAGGCCCACAGCCCTGGGCTGCCTGTTCCAGGAGCTGCCCCCGCAGACACTGCCGCACCTGACCCCAGAGTTGTCTGTTCGCTGGCCCATCGCAGAGGCTCCCGGGAGTGTGGGCAGCACTGAGGGGGGCCAGCGGCCACAGCACAGCTGTCAGAGGACCCCGCTACCACCGTGACCCCACGGACCTCTGTCGTGAGCTGCTCTGTCTCCTCTGTGACATCTATGGGTCTGTGTGTCCATGCATCCCTGAATCCAAACGCACAGTACGTGGGAGCGGTCAGTGAGGAGTTTGCTTGGCAGCCCGGCAAGTCAGCGAAAAGTCTGCACGCTTTTAAGTGATGCTAATCCACTAGAGTTCAAATCCCAGTCCTGCCTTGACGGGTCACGTGACCCTGGGCAAGCCTCCTAACGCTGTACCTCAGTTTCCTCATCTGTAAATGGGGACAGTCATGTTCCTCCATCCCTGAGCTGTCACCACATGCAAAAAGCCCATGACGGGGCTGGCACGGTGGCCCCCCTGCTGCTCGTCCCCGGTCACTACTACGCAGTCATCACTAGGTTCAGTCATGATCGTTGTAATTACTGTCACGGGCCAAAGCAACCATCACAGCAGCAGGAGCAGCGTTTCTGATAAATAAATGATCAGTTGTGGGAAACCGAGAGATGAGCAGACAAGTTGAATACGGAGCAGAACTCCTGGTGGACGGTCCGCCCCGGGGGCATGAGGGCACGCAGGGGGATGGGGTGCTACCTGCAGCGGGGATGGGGCCCCCACCCAGTGGGTGCCGAGGCCCTGCGGGGGCGCCGGGGCTGCTCAGTTGAGAGGCTGCCGGCAAACCCGAGGGGACGCTGCTGTTTAGCCTCTTTGGCCCGGATCTTCAACTTCTAATGTCAGATACTAGACGAACCGTATTTAACTCAAAATTCTCCCAGAAGTCTGCCCACGCCTGAGCTGTGAGGAGCGTCGGAGTAAAGGCCCAGCCATCATCGGTCTCTGTGCCAGGACCGCCCATCACCAAGTGGCGTCGCACGGCTGACCCCGGGGTGCTCTGCAGGCCGCGCGGCCTACCCCAACCGTGCGACAGCCCCCCTCGCCGTGCAGCGGGCAGACCAGGGGTGCGCAGAGGGAGGCCGCCAGCCCGCCCAGGCCACGGGGCTCTGGGCTCCAGGCCCAAGGACACCTCTGTCCCAGTGAAGGTGTCTGACCCTCCCCTGAGCGATGGGGCGTCGGTCGGTCTTTGGCAGAGAGGAGGTGGTGGAGCCAGCACCCGGTGGCAGTGGTGTGAGCAGGAGAGAAAGGCACGGCAGAGAACCCAGGAAGGGCAGACGTTCCTGACCTCAGGCATCCGTCTGTCTGCTGGCTCATGACCACACCCCGAGCTGGGGCTGTGTTCCAGGCACGGTCACATACTGTGGGCACCGCACAGCGGATGACAGCAGCTCCGCCCCCAGCGGCCCCGCCTGCAGGTGCACCTGTGCCAGCATCAGCAGAGGTGGGTATCGGGTGACGGACAGCTAAGTGACCACGAAGCAGATGGCATGTGGGCCTGAGCCGAGTCGCGGCTGGGTCCCCCAGCGGCCCGGTCCCTACTGAGCGCCCGCGGGGACGTGTCATGGAGAGCGCACCCCAGGCTTCTGGTCAGTCTGCATGAAAGCTGTACAAATGCTTCTTCATAGCTTTTATGGGGATTACAGGCTGAAAGGCAGTATTCTGGATTTCTGGGATAAATAAAATACTAGTGTATTCACCTGGATGTCTTCCACGCAACTCGAGGAAATTTCAGATGTCCCACGTGGCAGGGATAACACTGCTCTGAGGGACACACACCGCCTCCCACCTGGGTGCCCGGCTGGCAGACGGCACGCACCAGTGCCTCCCTCCTCGGGGCCCTCGGCAGAGAGAACCTCCCAGAAGGCTCCCAGGGGCGGCGGGAAAGGCGGAGCACACGCCAGCACCTGCTCCTCCGTGTGGCACAGAGCGCAGAGGTCTGCTCCAGTCAGGGGTTTACAAATTGCCAACTCTCAGAGATGAATAAATTAATCATGACGGGGCTAAAAGGGGCCATTTGCCAACTCTTATTATTTCCTCCCCTTAACCGAGAAGGAAGAAACAGGAGTCACTCGCTGACACACAAGTCAGGTAGCAGGGCTAATTGGTTTAATTCACTTTTCCGTCCGCATTCTGACGTTCG